TTCATAGTTTTAGGGCGAAGGGTAAAGGTGATTTGATGGAATTTATTGGAATTTATTTTAATCCTCCAGTTTTGGCACCATTCTTCAAGGTTTGTGATGTGTGATAAAAGAGTTTAAAATGCATTGTTTGGGTCATTATTAACGGATAGGACCCATGTATTATCGGCATACGTGGTTATGACAGTGTTAGGATGTCAGTTGTATAAACTGTAAAGGATATGACGTAGGATACTACATTGGGGAACGATAGCGGACTGAGAAAAGAGGAATGAATAAGCATTATTGTGATTTACTTTAAAGTATTTTAGTACAGTTAGGTACAGTTAGGTAGGAATAATGAGGAATGATGTAGGAATTTACGGAGTTTGTAAAGCAGTCTCGGGTGCCAGACTAGATCAAAGGCCTGTTCTACGTCTATAAAAACTTCCGTGTAGTTTTTCACATTCCACCCTTCCATGCAGAGGAGACAACACCACACGATGGCATTGCTGGATACTGGAATGGGATCTGCGGAACCCAAATTGATGATCTGGGATAATGTGATTGGAATCTAGGATGGGGTACAGGCGTTTTTCTAATATTTTGCCTAGGACGGGTAAAAGGGAGATAGGACGATAAGAGGATGGGTGTTCTGGTGGCTTTTAGAGTATATGTATCATTTTGATAATAGATAATTTCCAAGGGTCAGGAAAATATGTGGATCGCACTACAACCCATGAAGGTTCTTGGGTGCAGTACTATGTGAGGAAGTACTGTTTTAAGGCCAACGGTTGTGCAGGGAGGTGATGGTGCCGATATAACACTCAACCGCCAGGTTTTCCCTTTTAATTATTTTTATAATTAAGAGTACCCACTTTATAGAGGAGATTATTCCGCAGAAAGAGAAGAACTTGGGAAAACAAGAACATGGAGGATATAGAGGCATTGCGCGGCCAAAATGATAGTCGGCTGTTTTTTCAGAGAATAAACGAGGGTAGGGCAGCTTTCAGGCCCAGAGTGACGGCATGCAAAGACACGAATGGATCTCTTTTAAGCCACAAAGATGACATACTAAGGAGATGGGTACAGCATTTTAAAGACGCATTAAACAGAGGAACGGTGCCTGGAGAAGTAGGAGTAATGAAGGAAGGACTCCCTGAATTCTATTGAACACCCGGATGAGGAGGAAATGGAAAATGCCCTGATGAAATTGAAAAATGGAAAGGCGCCAGGCACGGACGGAATCCAGTCAGAGCTGTTGAAATGTGGAGGTGAAGAACTTAAGAAAGCTCTGCATGATTTAATGCTGACCATCTGGGAGAGGGAAGCTATGCCTACGGAATGGGCAACAGCCATTATCTGCCCAATACATAAGAAAGGAGATCAAACAGAATGCGCTAACTATCGAGGAATCTCACTCCTTTCGTGTGCTTATAAGCTGCTCTCTAACATTCTTTTTGAGAGGATTCTCCCGTATTCTGAAAAGGAACTAGGGAAATATCAGGCTGGATTTCGAAGAGGACGCTCAACCACTGATCAACTATTCTCTCTGAGGATGATCCTAGAAAAGACTATGGAGCATAAGGTAGTCACCCACCATTTATTCCTAGACTTTAAATCAGCATACGACAGCGTTGATAGAACGCAACTATACTGTGCCTTGGAGGAGCTAAGCATCCCTCAGAAGCTGGTACGCCTAATCAAGATGACCATGGACAGCTCGAGATGTAGAATACGCGTCGGTTCTGACGACTCCGAAGAGTTTAAAGTGGGCAGTGGGGTTAGGCAAGGGGATGCCCTCGCCTGTCTATTGTTCAACTTGGCAGAGGAGAAAGCTGTAAGAGACTCCGGTATTCAGACCAACGATATAATCTTCAATCGCCTGACACAGCTTCTTGGTTTTGCTGATGATATTGACATAATAGGTAGGTCTGAACAGGCTCTCAGAGAAGCGTTTATAGGCCTTGAAGCAGCTGCAAGACCACTTGGTCTAGAAGTCAACGAAAGGAAAACTAAGTATATGAGAGTTGGTGGTGAGGTGGATCTGAACTCTCCATTTGAGGTAGGTTCTTTTAAGTTTGAGAGAGTGAAAAGTTTTATATACCTTGGGTCTGAAATTAATAGCAAAAATGACATGGCTCAAGAAATACAAAGAAGGATCACGGCTGCCAATAGATGTGTCTTTGGACTTGGCCGACACTTAAGAAGTAGGTACCTCTCAAAGAAGACCAAGCTAATCATATACAAGACTCTTGTTCGGCCTGTTTTGACATATGGCTCAGAGGCTTGGACGATGACCAAAAACGATGAGATGAAGCTGAGTGTGTTTGAGCGAGGAGTCCTCAGAAGGATTTATGGTCCAGTAAAGGAGGGTGATGTCTGGAGGAAAAGAAAAAATAGGGAGCTCAGTTCTCTCTATGCAGACATCGACGTAGTCACCTATATTAAACTGGCCAGACTAAGGTGGGCAGGGCATGTGGCCAGAATGAGCACCGTTGAGATACCCAAGAAAATAATGATGGAGGAGCTGCACCTCGCAAGACGGTAGGAAGGCCGAGGACGAGGTGGTTGGACAACGTGGCCTATGATGCGAGAACCCTGCTTGGTGTACGGAACTGGAGAGCTGCAGCAGAAGACAGAGCCAACTGGCGGAGGCTCTTGGAGGAGGCCCAGTCTCGGTAACGGGATGTCGTGCCACACATGATGATGATGACTTTATAGAGGCTGAGTATGCCCCAAGAGGGTCTCCCGATCCCAGGCTCGATCCACGGCTAATGAAAAATTACTAGTCATTAGCCGGATTCGAACCCAGGACCTTGAGCTCTGGAAGCCAGTGCTCACCCACTAAGCTACCCCGCTCCCACAGCATTATATATATAAGTAAGGAATAGGATGGCTTTCCTGGGAAGGAGTTTTAAGATCTGGGATGTAATTAGCTTATGTATGTAATAATTAGCTTTGCGGGAATATTGATTGGTATTCAATATTTCTGAAGCTTGAAAGGCTTTAGGTGGAAGAGATATTTCATCATCATCATATTCTCTCCTCTAGTACCGCCTATGCAGTGTAAGGATAAAGACTAAAAAAAATTTTTTTTATTATTCTGGCGCCCCCAAGTACGCAACAAAGCAATAAACGGCCTAAGTTATATTTAAAACAAAACTAATTAATACGTGAAATACGAATATCAACCCGGAAGTAGACGATCTTTATATAACATCTCATAACCTACTAGGCAATTTTTCCTCCATTAGGTACTGCAAAACATCGCTAATATGGCAAAAAAACTATTTAATCGTGTCCGCTGGACCAAAATGTTTAGGCAACTTTTCAAATTAAGGCAAGGCAAATAACTCTCATAAGTTCTTAATAGGAAACATTCAAAATTTATCAAACGAGGAACATTCTACTTTTATGCAGTGGACTGTATTTTAATGGATTGGTGGGTTATACTGATTGTGCAAAAATAGCTTACCACAATATTGCGAATGTATGGACCGTTCTCTCGGTGACACCGGCAGACATTGTTCGGCATACATTACGATATTACCAAGCGGGGCAAGACCTATTACTTGTATGTGAGAAATAAAACTATTTAAGAATGCATTAAACACTTATCTGAAACAGAACGTATAGGTGCCGATAGGAACCTCGTTTTGTGTTCCGAAATCATAGGGACTGTTAGAGACCCTGAGAGGCAAAAATAATTAGTGAAAACTTATCACGAAGGTAAAACCAACCATCAGGGAGTCCCTGAAGTCCTTGCCGCGTTACGCCGCCGATATTACTGGCACCATACGTACCGATGAATTCGCGGGGTTTATCAAGCATATATGGTGTACCATCGTGCGAAATATGATAGATATCCCATTACTGTTCATCCAGAAGTGTCTCATACTCCTAATTCACTGTTACGTTCGACGTTCGGGTCGATATCTTTACATGGGAAGGGTTACATTGGCTTATAGTCCTGGACAATTTCAGCAAATTAGCAAAGGCATATCCGCTACCTAATAAAATGAAAGAGGCTGTTGGGGATGTTATGTTCAGCTGGATTTCATGCTATGGAGTTCCTCAAAATATTACGTCAGACGGTAAGAGGAAATTTCGGTACACCCGTATCACTAAGGAATGCTCGGATTTAAACATGAATTTTCAATTTCCCAAGATATTACACTAGTGGAAGTAGTATTCGGTCATTCACTACGGAATCTGGAGACTTACTAATGACTGCGTACACACATCGACGAGACGCTATAATTCACAAACGTAAACAACTCGCCCTCATATTTCAGCGAATTCACAACAAACTTTTTCGGGAAAAATTTCTAGAGCGCACCGGCACTGCTTGGCTTTACCGGACGAATACCACTAGATTTCATCAGGCATGACGGTAATCTGCCAACCACCATCCAGATCAACGATATGTAGGGGCATTCAAAGTTGTAGCGCTGTGAGAATATAACATTTTGTCTATTCAGGAGTTAGCGGTAGCTCAGATAGTGAGACACAGCCATATGCCTTATCGATACTTGTGAAGAACCCGGTCGGGATAGACTGCCATCTGCCAATGTTTATAACCAGAACACTGATAATTCTGACAAGGCACGGATAATCCCTATCTTCGTATTCATATTTATGGAAATTGAAATAGACAAAAACAAATGGCATATATATGGAAATTGAAAAACAAAAAAACAAATGTAATAATAACAAAACACTTTTATTTTACAACATACACATGAAATAGACAAAAAAAGAAAAGCCATATTTGTGGAAATTGAAATAGACAAAAACAAATATTATAATAACAAAACACTTTGATTTAAAATTGAAATAGACAACAACAAATGTAATAATAACAAAACACTTTGATTTGAAATTGAAATAAACAAAAACAAATGTAATAATAACAAAACACTTTGATTTGAAATTGAAATAGACAAAAACAAATGTAATAATTCCCACAACAATAACAAAACACTTTTATTTTACATACATTATTATACATCACACTTCAGCTGCGCTTTGCCGTTTTTGTTAGAACTGCTACGAAAGCATCTCCATTTCATCTTCCTGTCATTTCACGACCTTCTTCACAGAATTTCACCTTTGGAATTATCCCGGCAATTTGGAAATATTTAATAGCTTTTTCTTCTGAAGACGGCAATTCCCACAGAGTAATAATATCCATTTGAACAATAAACAATGGAATAACTCACATGTAACAAAAGGATATTATCAGCTTACATGAGATAAGGGAGGAGGACGTAAGATAAGTTAAGAAGATATGTGACGTAAGATAAGATAAGAAGGAAGGTTTCGGTACAGACCGGATTCTTCACAAGTACCTAATTATCTTTATATGTACAATTACGCCACTAGCAGTAATACACGTCTGCTGGACAAATAGAATTGATGACGCTACTAACTAATTTATCTTAAACAAGATGGAGTGACTTTGCCAGTATACAAACTAAGAATATAATAAAGGAGAGAGTATAACTGTTTCACCATGCTGATATACAGAGAATTTCGCAATTAGGTATGCCTGAGAGATGTACATTACCAGTTGATGGTTAAGCAGTATCATACACAGGCACTGATTTGAACTATAAATAAAGTAATATTGGAACTACTTGTCATTTGGTGGGACTGACTCGCCTAAACCTCACTCTTGCATACCATACAGTGAGAGTTTAAACGAACTTTGAAATTTTACTAGGCCACATTTCAAGTCACTTACTATCTCTACAAAGGATGTTGCATTACATTTCTTATATTTTAAAGTTGTGTTTATCCTCCTAGTTTGGCGGTTGGCCCCACTGTGCTGTTGGGCTCTGATTTAAGTTTGAATGGGCCAAAAATTTAAGATTTGTTTTTTAAGTGTCACGTTTGTGGTTTAATTATAAGCAACAACTAAATATTTTTTATATTTTGCCTTGAAAGATGGTGTACCATTTGAATAGATGCGAAATGTAATAAATTAAATTAAAATCACTATTATAAAACTATTGTTGATATTTGATAAGTTCTATTAAGGACTACATTAAAAAAAGTATTGAATTCTATTGTTCATGCAAAATGACATCCTCAATCCTCACATGAAACAAAATTTAACGAAACTAATCGATTAACATAAAACAAGGCTTTCTTTATTATTCATAAAAAACATAAATTAAGTGTGATATTAACAAAGCTTAATGAAATGTATTTTATTAATCAGTTTTAATATCAGTTATTAATTATTTATTTGTCATTAGATGTTTATACACTTTGACAGTCGTAATGAACCATATTAATCCTTTGATGTCGAAACCTGAATTTGTAAAACGTGATCGCTATAGCTGTTAGCAATAATACACCGAATCCCAAAACAAAAATATTTAGAGTTGTACGTTCTTGATGATGCGAATGATTCATTTTTTCTTCATAAAACTGCATGGCTTGTCCCGTATCTCTCTTTCCAAGTTTTCTGTGTTGCTGGTATTGCCCTGAAAAAAAAATCATTTCATTTCTTGGTATTAAGCATTATGGCTCATTAAGATTGCTTATCTGTTGTAATTAATAATGCACAATACTAGCACATACAGGATGTCCGGTAATTAAAGAGAAATATTGAAGGAGGTTTGATTATAGGAGACCTTAGGAGCTACAAAAAAAGGTTTATATAAACCATGGTTCGATTATCCGCAGAAATGGCAAAAATTAAAATTAAATAAAGTTTCACGTTTTTTATTTAATTAGAATCCATAGCTAAAAAATGTGGTGCGCGCAACAGACAACTTTCACTTACTGCTCTACTTGAATATAAACTATTTTATGTTGAGCTTTTATGAAATATTTTAAGTACATTTTTAACCGAGCTAAAGCTTAAAGCTTACGCTCTACTTGAATATAAACTATTTTATGTTAGGATATAAAGGACGAAGCCCAAGACTCTACCTTGAGAAACATCAGGTAATTAATAACTGCTTTATACTAGACTGGAAAATAATTACTTCAATTGCACGTAAAGTTTGTTATTGTCATTTAAAGGGAATTTTTAAACGACTAAAGTAAATTTTTTTTTTAAAATATAATCATTGACTATTCACAACGTTTTTTCTGTCATCCTGCAACTAGACTACTGATACCCAATTTTTAGAAAAAAATTGTTTAACTAGCTTTAAATCAACATTAGTCTATCAAATCGCTCACTATCCTCCTCACTGACTCCTTTCCGAAATCCCGTTCAACTTTCCTCGATAAATACAACCCCTATCTATCCTTTTATGGAACGCTAACGGACTACTTAACCACTGAGACGAACTAGACTTATTTCTCCATGACAATTACATTGATATTGCCCTTCTGAAGGAAATTCACTTCACTCAACGGACACATTTCTACATACATGACTACATCATTTATAGATCTGACCACCCAGATAACACTTCCCTCGCTGGTTCCTGCATCCTTATCCATAAATCTTCATCCCACTCCCTTATTCCTACCACTCCAACTGATGCCATTCAATCAACTTCTGTAGTCCTGTCATCTCGCCCTTTCCATCTCACATTATCAACTGTATGCTGTCCTCCTGGTAATTCCATCTCCTATAACCTCCTTGAATCCTTATTCCAATTCCTCGGATTGAGCTTTATTGCTGTAGGAGACTTTTTTTTATTATTTTTTTTTATTATTTTTTTTATCCCCCTACCTGGCCATTTCTGGCATACGGGGTAGCTGTAGGAGACTAAAACGATGGGGTTGTCGAACATCGAACTCCCGTGGTAACATACTTTCACGTGTCTCATCTTCCAACAGTTATTCAATCCTCTCGCCCATGAGTCCTACTTATTGGCCAACATCGCTCAAAAAACGTCGCGATATCCTGGATATATTTATCACCTCCCAAATTTCCTTCTCACAAACCATAATCAAATCACTCGATAACCTTTCTTCAGACCATAGTCCAGTACTGTTTTTACTACATTCAAGCTATGCTCCTAAACTATCATCTCCTAAATTGATTACCGGAGGAGTAAACTTGGGCAAATTTCGTGATGATTTGGAAAACAAACTAGACTTAAAAATTCGGCTAAAAACAAAAGAAGACATTAATGGTGCCATAGAAAAACATACAGTATCAATAACAGACAGTATAAATAGTAAAACCTTTAACAGTAAGATTAACAATTTACAAAAGACAAACTTGCTACAGCATATTCGTATCTTATTAAAGGGAAAACGCAGAGCAAGATCGAAGTGGCATAGAACAAGATATCCAACAGATAAAATTCATTATACCCAACTGCCTAACAAACTAAAATCAGAAATTAGAAAATAAAAAATTTACTATATTTTATTGGAAAACATTCACCTACCGACAAATCATGGTGGACGACGACTAAAAGGCTCCTGAAAGTTAAAGACTTTAATCATCCACTTCTTACTGAAGCTGAAATTTGGTCCGAATCTGACGAAGAAAAATCCCAAATTTTCGCTTATCACCTCTTCAAAAACTTTAATCCACATCATGATATCCTTAATCCAAATCAGCATGAATGTATTGAAGCAGAACTGGATATTCCACTCCAAATGATTCCTCCTTCTAAAACATTTTATCCTACAGAAATATCCAATATTGTTCATAGATTATCCTCCCGCAAAGACTCTGGCCACGACCTAATTACATCCCATTTCTTTAAAATACTTCCTCGAAAAGCCATTCTAACCTTACTTAACGCCGTTCTCCGTTCCACATACTTTCCTGACCCTTGGAAACTGTATATTGTGAAAATGATACACAAACCTAAAAAGGGCCACCAGAATGCCCATCCTCTCACCGTCCCATCTCTCTTTTATCTATCATGGGCAAAATCATGGAAAAGCTCATCTTAAAACGCCTGTATCCCATCCTAGATTCTAACTACATAATTTCTGATCACCAATTTGGATTCCGCACATCCTATTCCACTATCCAGCAATGTCATCGTGTGTTAGACGTTGTATCCTCGGTATTAGAGTGCGGAATGTATTGCACTTGAGTCTTTCTCGACGTTGAACAGGCGTTTGATCGAGTCTGGCACCCGAGGTTTGCTTAAGAAACACCGTAAATTTCTTCTCCCTACATATTTTCATATCATCAGTTCCTACCTTACTGATAGACACTTCAAAGTAAATCACAATAATACCTATTCATCCCTCTTTTCTCAATCCGCCGGTGTTCCTCTAGGTATTATCCTTGATCCTGTCCTTTACACAGTTTATACAGCTGATATCCTAACCCATCCATAAGCCAACACTGTCATCACTACGTATGCTGATTATACATGTATCCTGTCAGTTAATAATGATCCATCAATTGCGTCACAATCTTTCCAATCCAACATCACAAACATTGAAGAATGGTGTCAAAACTCTAGGATTAAAATAAATTCCAATAAATCCCATCAAATCAACTTTATCCTTCATCGTAAACCCATGATTTGCTGTCCTACTTATCCTTTAATAACACCCCACTTATTCCTGTAGAACAAATCCGATGCATAGGACTCCACCTGGACAAACGTCTCACATAGAATCCTCATACATGGCTGAAACGACTAGAAACTGCTCGACATTTCCGCTTACTCCAACACTTACGGGGCAAACGCTCTAAACTTGCAATTAATCACAAAAGACTCATATACATGACTATAATAAGGCCTATTTCGACATATGGAGTTGAGCTATGGGGCTCCACTAAACCATCAAATTGCTTTCGTATTCAATCCAAAATCCTTCGTAAAATCCTTAATGTTCTTTCCTTTGTCTCAAATAATCCAATCCAGATACCTATCCTCCCATAATAAACTTCATAACCATCCGAATCCTTTTATTTCTAACCTTGATTCCTCTTCGATTCCTGATAACCCTGCAAAGCGTTTGAAAAGAAGATGGCCTCGTGATCTCCTCATGTAGACAAATTATTAAAGTACTACCAATGGGTAGTTTCTCAACAAGCGTTTTCATGTGATTATATTCCTCTGTACACATATACTTGATGTATTTATACTAATACAGTTGTAAATATCATAATAAAAATTGTTTAAAAAAATGCACGTTATTTAAGTTGAGGTTTGTTACAGAATATATTGAGATTCATCTTTATTTCTGTGTAAAAGGTAAGTGATTTGATATTCTGTTACTCACAAATACCTGTGTTTTCAACAAAAATGAAACAAACTATTTATAAATTGTAGGTTATTTTTTTTCTATGACTTGGATGTATTATAATAAATTTAATACAAAAATATAAACTTTTATTTCATTTTAAAAAAATATATTAAGAAAAACCACTTTTTTAAATGTTTTCCAAAGCTCATTAAGCAAGAAAGATTTCTGAAAGTAGATACTTGTTGTCAAACTTTGAGGATAGAAAAAACAGTGTCAATCCATAATTTTGTCAAAACCGAACCTATTTTTAGTTTCGTTTAGTCGCTTAAAAAGGGACTTTAAATGGTATTAACTAAGTCAATATCTGCTTGCATATGAAATAAATTTTGTCTTATTTACTATTAAGCAATTGTAAATTACCTGAATTTAATATATTTTTACTTATTGCCTATTAATTTAACAACATCAAACATAAATTTCTTGTTTTTCTTCGAAATATGGAATGGTGGTTTATATAAAGATTTTTGTAGCCAACGTGGTCTCATATCTTTAAATATTTCTCTCCACTTATGACATCCTGTGAATATATTTATGTGTATGCCAAATCAGTGCCGGCCTTAGGGCCATTGCCACGGGGCGCCGGCCGGTCTTCAACGGTGTTCACTACTTGTTATAAATTTTATAAAATATAAAAACGTCTTAAAACAATTGATTTTACCCTATCGATAAATTAACTGTATCTGAGAAATATTGAATGAAATAAAAATCAAATATTATATAGTATACAACTGCTTAAAAAATAAATTTAATTTTATTAGGGGGAGGTTGAGCTGAGGTAACGTCATTGTCCGGGAGCACGTAATGTCTAAGGCCGGGACTGAAACAATTCAGTATTATGTAGTGTAGCCACTTTTCACATCAAGAACCTTGATGATTATTAGAGTGTGGGGAACTGGGAACTAGTAGCCATAAAAATATTTTAAAAAAAGAAAAATACTTATAAACTAAAATCAAAACTACAGTGAAATAACTTCATTAAAAACACAAAAACTATAATATAAAATACTTCACTTACAGGTGTGAAAGGAATGATAGCGTGGGTTCTCATTTCTATGAAAATCTTCACTAGATAATATATTTTTCTCTTTTATATCCTCTGGTCTTGTAGTTACCGAAGTTATGTCTCCCTGATCAGTCCCTTGGCAATGCTTATCTTTAGATCCTGGAAAACAAGGAGGAACTACACCTTTCGAAAATACTTCAGAAAAATCACCGGTGCATATTGGGCCGTCTGGTCCTGATGAACAACCGGACGGAAGAGATTCTGGTTTATCATTCCTAGATTCATCATAATTTACAGGGGGTAAATATGTTGGCGGTACCTTAGTTGAAGAATGGAAAGACTTAGAGCATCTTGGATCAGATGAACCTACATAACAAATAGGAATTAGTTGGTTTAATAACAGAGTTTGTTGACATCGAGGGTCTTTAGAACCTGGTAGGCACGAAACCTCTTCAACTGTTTTTGCTGAGTTCGATGTAGACAAATGATAATTAGTAGGCAAATTAATGATTGCTGGAAATTGGGAATTATTACAGGTACATAATATAGGTATACCAGGAACATGATAATGTGGAATGGTTGTAGGAGTAGAGTGAAAAAAATGTTTCGTTAAAAATGATTCTGAGCACAAAGGGTCTTTAGAACCAGGCCAACACTTAGGTGGCTTCTTCGTAATTCTAGGAACTTGTGGACACCTTCTGTCTGACGAACCGGGGTAGCAGCTTGGTGGATTCTCAGTAGATTTTGGTGGTTGCAGACATCTTGGATCCGATGATCCGGGATAACAGAAAGACTGTGGTGAAGAATATGTAATTTTTGGACATTTCGGATCAAGTGAATCAGGATAACAACTAGGTGGCTTCTCAGTTGTTTTCGGTAGTTGAGAGCATCGTGGGTCTGGCGATTCGGGGTAGCAGCTTGGTGGCCTTTCAGTAGATTTTGGACATGTAGGGTCAAGAGAACCAGGATAACAGCTAGGTTGCTTCTCAGTAGTTCTTGGTGCTTGTGAACATCTTGGATCAAGAGAACCAGGATAGCAGGCAGGCGGATTATCTATTGTTTCCGGTAGTTGAGGACATCGTAGATCTGAGGAACCGGGATGACAAGCAGGCGGTGGTGAAGTAGCTTTAGTTTTTGGACATCTTGGATCAAGAGAACCAGGGTAACAGCTTGGCGGCTTCACAGTCGTTTTCTGCGGTTGAGGACATCTTCGATCTGACGAACTCGGATAACAAATGACGGACTTCTCAGTAGTTTTTGAAACTTGTGGACATCGTGGATCTGCCGAACCTGGATAACAGGCAGGCTGTGGTGAAGGAGTTATAGTTTTTTGACATCTTGGATCAAGAGAACCAGGGTAACAGCTAGGCGGAATCAAAGTCGTTTTTGAAACTTGTGGACATCGTGGATCTGACGAACCGGGATAACAGACAGGCGGTAGTGAAGGAGTTAGAGTTTTGGAACATATTGGATCAAGAGAACCAGGGTAACAGCTAGGCGGCTTCACAGTCGTTTTCGGCGGTTGAGGACATCTTAGATCTAACGAACCCGGATAACAAATGACGGGCTTCTCAGTAGTTTTTGAAACTTGTGGACATCGTGGATCTGACGAACCTGGATAACAGGTTGGCTGTGGTGAAGATGTTATAGGTTTTGGACATCTTGGATCAAGAGAACCAGGATAACAGGCAGGCGTTGTTGAAGAAGTTATAGTTTTTGGACATCTTGGATCAAGAGAACCAGAGTAACAGCTTGGCGGCTTCACAGTCGGTTTCTGCGTTTGAGGACATCTTCGATCTGACGAACCCGGATAACAAATGACGGGCTTCTCAGTAGTTTTTGAAACTTGTAGACATCGTGGATCTGCCGAACCTGGATAACAGGCAGACTGTGGTGAATGAGTTATAGTTTTTGGACATCTTGGATCAAGAGAACCAGGGTAACAGCTAGGCGGAATCAAAGTCGTTTTTGGAACTTGTGGACATCGTGGATCTGACGAACCGGGAAAACAGACAGGCGGTAGTGAAGGAGTAAGAGTTTTTGGACATCTTGGATCAAGAGAACCGGGGTAACAGGCAGGCGTTGTTGGAGGAGTTATAGTTTTTGGACATCTTGGATCAAGAGAACCAGGGTAACAGCTAGGCGGCTTCACAGTCGTATTCGGCGGTTGAGGACATCTTCGATCTGACGAACCCGGATAACAAATGACGGGCTTCTCAGTAGTTTTTGAAACTTGTGGACATCGTGGATCTGACGAACCTGGATAACAGGTTGGCTGTGGTGAAGGTGTTATAGGTTTTGGACATCTTGGATCAAGAGAACCAGGATAACAGGCAGGCGTTGTTGAAGAAGTTATAGTTTTTGGACATCTTGGATCAAGAGAACCAGGGTAACAGCTAGGCGGCTTCACAGTCGTATTCGGCGGTTGAGGACATCTTCGATCTGACGAACCCGGATAACAAATGACGGGCTTCTCAGTAGTTTTTGAAACTTGTGGACATCGTGGATCTGACGAACCTGGATAACAGGTTGGCTGTGGTGAAGGTGTTATAGGTTTTGGACATCTTGGATCAAGAGAACCAGGATAACAGGCAGGCGTTGTTGAAGAAGTTATAGTTTTTGGACATCTTGGATCAAGAGAACCAGGGTAACAGCTAGGCGGCTTCACAGTCGTATTCGGCGGTTGAGGACATCTTCGATCTGACGAACCCGGATAACAAATGACGGGCTTCTCAGTAGTTTTTGAAACTTGCGGACATCGTGGATCTGACGAACCTGGATAACAGGTAGGTTGTGGTGAAGATGTTATAGGTTTTGGACATCTTGGATCAAGAGAACCAGGATAACATCTAGGGATCTTCACAGTCGTATTCGGCGGTTGAGGACATCTTCGATCCGACGAACCTGGATAACAGGTAGGCGGTGGTGAAGGTGTTATTGTTTTTGGACATCTTGGGTCAAGAGAACCAGGAAAGCAGCTAGGCTTCTTTTCAGTAGTTCTAGGTGGTTTTGGACATCTTGGATCAAGAGAACCAGGGTAACAGGCAGGTGTTGTTGAAGGAGTTATAGTTTTTGGACATCTCAAATCAAGAGAACCAGGAATGCAGCTAGGCGGTTTTTCTGTAGTTCTAGGTGGTTGAAAACATCTTGGATCAAGAGTACCAGGATAGCAAGCAGGCGGCTTATCTGTTATTTTCGGTGGTTGAGGACATCGAGCATCTGAAGAACCAGGATAACATATAGCAGGCTTCTCAGTCGTTTTCGGAATTTGTGAACATCGCGGATCCGACGAACCGGGATAACAGGCTGGCTGTGGTGAAGTAGCTATAGTTTTTGGACATCTTGGATCAAGAGAACCAGGGTAACAGCTAGGCGGCTTCACAGTCGTATTCGGCGGTTGAGGACATCTTCGATCTGACGAACCCGGATAACAAATGACGGGCTTCTCAGTAGTTTTTGAAACTTGTGGACATCGTGAATCTGCCGAACCGGGATAACAGGCAGGCGGTGGTAAAGGAGTTATAGTTTTTTGACATCTTGGATCGAGAGAACCAGAGTAACAGGCAGTCGTTGTTGAAGGAGTTATAGTTTTTAGACATCTTGGATCAAGAGAAGCAGGAAAGCAGCTAGGCGGTTTTTCAGTGGTTCTAGGTGGTTGAGGACATCTTGGGTTATCAGAACCAGGGTAACAGCTAGGCTGCTTCACAGTCGTTTTCGGCGGTTGAGGACATCTTCGATCTGACGAACCCGGATAACAAATGACGGGCTTCTCAGTAGTTTTTGAAACTTGTGGACATCGTGGATCTGACGAACCTGGATAACAGGTTGGCTGTGGTGAAGGTGTTATAGGTTTTGGACATCTTGGATCAAGAGAACCAGGATAACAGGCAGGCGTTGTTGAAGAAGTTATAGTTTTTGGACATCTTGGATCAAGAGAACCAGGGTAACAGCTAGGCGGCTTCACAGTCGTATTCGGCGGTTGAGGACATCTTCGATCTGACGAACCCGGATAACAAATGACGGGATTCTCAGAAGTTTTTGAAACTTGTGGACATCGTGGATCTGACGAACCTGGATAACAGGTTGGCTGTGGTGAAGGTGTTATAGGTTTTGGACATCTTGGATCAAGAGAACCAGGATAACAGGCAGGCGTTGTTGAAGAAGTTATAGTTTTTGGACATCTTGGATCAAGAGAACCAGGGTAACAGCTAGGCGGCTTCACAGTCGTATTCGGCGGTTGAGGACATCTTCGATCTGACGAATCCGGATAACAAATGACGGGCTTCTCAGTAGTTTTTGAAACTTGTGGACATCGTGGATCTGACGAACCTGGATAACAGGTTGGCTGTGGTGAAGGTGTTATAGGTTTTGGACATCTTGGATCAAGAGAACCAGGATAACAGGCAGGCGTTGTTGAAGAAGTTATAGTTTTTGGACATCTTGGATCAAGAGAACCAGGGTAACAGCTAGGCGGCTTCACAGTCGTATTCGGCGGTTGAGGACATCTTCGATCTGACGAACCCGGATAACAAATGACGGGCTTCTCAGTAGTTTTTGAAACTTGTGGACATCGTGGATCTGACGAACCTGGATAACAGGTTGGCTGTGGTGAAGGTGTTATAGGTTTTGGACATCTTGGATCAAGAGAACCAGAATAACAGGAAGGCGTTGTTGAAGGAGTTATAGTTTTTGGACATCGTGAATCTGACGAACCGGGATAACAGGCAGGCGGTGGTAAAGGAGTTATAGTTTTTTGACATCTTGGATCGAGAGAACCAGGAAAGCAGCTAGGCGGTTTTTCAGTGGTTCTAGGTGGTTGAGGACATCTTGGGTTAACAGAACCAGGGTAACAGCTAGGCTGCTTCACAGTCGTTTTCGGCGGTTGAGGACATCTTCGATCTGACGAACCCGGATAACAGGCAGGCTGTGGTGAAGGTGTTATAGTTTTTGGACATCTTGTGTCAAGAGAACCAGGGTAACATCTAAGCGGCTTTACAGTCGTTTTCGGCGGTTGAGGACATCTTCGATCCGACGAACCGGGATAACAAATGGCGGGTTTCTCAGTAGTTTTTGAAATTTGTGGACATCGTGGATCTGACGAACCTAGATAACAGGCAGGCTGTGGTGTAGTTGTTATAGTTTTTGGACATCTTGGATCAAGAGAATCAGGAAAGCAGCTAAGCGGCTTTTCAGTAGTTCTAGGTGGTTGAGAACATCTTCGATCTGACGAACCCGGATAACAAATGACGTGCTTCTCAGCTGTGTTTAGAACTTGTGGACATCGTGGATCTGAGGAACCGGGATAACAGGCAAGCGGCGGTGAAGGAGTTATAGTTTTTGGACATCTTGGATCAACAGAACCAGGAAAGCATCTGGCCAGTTTTTCTGTAGTTCTTGGTGGTTGTGGACATCTCGGTTCAAGAGACCCAGGATAACAGGCTGGTGGCTTCTCTGTTGTTTTCGGTGGTTGTGAACATCGTGGATCTGACGAACCGGGATAACAGTCAGGCGTTGTTGAAGGAGTTATAGTTTTTGGACATCTTGGATCAAGAGAACCGGGGTAACAGGCAGGCGTTGTTGGAGGAATTATAGTTTTTGGACATCTCAGATCAAGAGAACCAGGAAAGCAGCTAGGCGGCTTTTCAGTAGTTCTAGATGGTTGAAAACATCTTGGATCCAGAGTACCAGGATAGCAAGCAGGCGGCTTATCTGTTATTTTCGGTGGTTGAGGACATCGTGCATCTGACGAAGCAGGATAACATATAGCAGGCTTCTCAGTCGTTTTCGGAATTTGTGAACATCGTGGATCTGACGAACCTTGATAACAGGCAGGCGGTGGTGAAGGAGTTGTAGTTTTTAGACATCTTGGATCAAGTGAACCAGGGTAACAGCTAGGCGTTGTTGAAGAAGTTATAGTTTTTGGACATCTTGGATCAAGAGAACCAGGGTAACAGCTAGGCGGCTTCACAGTCGTATTCGGCGGTTGAGGACATCTTCGATCTGACGAACCCGGATAACAAATGACGGGCTTCTCAGTAGTTTTTGAAACTTGTGGACATCGTGGATCTGACGAACCTGGATAACAGGTAGGCGGTGGTGAAGGTATTATAGGTTTTGGACATCTTGGATCAAGAGAACCAGGATAACAGGCAGGCGTTGTTGAAGAAGTTATTGTTTTTGGACATCTTGGGTCAAGAGAACCAGGAAAGCAGCTAGGCTTCTTTTCAGTAGTTCTAGGTGGTTTTGGACACCTTGGATCAAGAGAACCAGTATAGCAAGCAGGCAGCTTATCTGTTGTTTTCGGTGGTTGAGGACATCGTGCATCTGACGAACCAGGATAACATATAGCAGGCTTCTCAGTCGTTTTCGGAATTTGTGAACATCGTGGATCTGGCGAACCGGGATAACAGGCAGGCGTTGGTGAAGGAGTTGTAGTTTTTAGACATCTTGGATCAAGTGAACCAGGGTAACAACCAGGCGGGTTCACAGTCGTTTTCGGCGGTTGAGGACATCTTCGATCTGACAAACCCGGATAACAAATGACGGGCTTCTCAGTAGTTTTCGAAACTTGTGGACATCTTGGATCAAGAGAACCAGGATAACAGGCAGGCGTTGTTGAAGAAGTTATAGTTTTTGGACATCTTGGATCAACAGAACCAGGAAAGCATCTGGCCGGTTTTTCTGTAGTTCTACGTGGTTGTGGACATCTCGGTTCAAGAGACCCAGGATAACAGGTTGGCGGCTTCTCTGTTGTTTTCGGTGGTTGGGAACATTGTGGATCTGACGAACTGGGATAACAGGCAGGCGTTGTTGAAGGAGTTATAGTTTTTGGACATCTCAAATCAAGAGAACCAGGGTAACAGGCAGGTGTTGTTGAAGGAGTTATAGTTTTTGGACATCTCAAATCAAGAGAACCAGGAATGCAGCTAGGCGGTTTTTCTGTAGTTCTATGTGGTTGAAAACATCTTGGATCAAGAGTACCAGGATAGCAAGCAGGCGGCTTATCTGTTATTTTCGATGGTTGAGGACATCGAGCATCTGAAGAACCAGGATAACATATAGCAGGCTTCTCAGTCGTTTTCGGAATTTGTGAACATCGCGGATCCGACGAACCGGCATAACAGGCAGGCGGTGGTGAAGGAGTTGTAGTTTTTAGACATCTTGGATCATGTGAACCAGCGTAACAGCTAGGCGGGTTCACAGTCGTTTTCGGCGGTTGAGGACATCTTCGATCTGACAAACCCGGATAACATATGACGGGCTTCTCAGTAGTTTTCGAAACTTGTGGACATCTTGGATCAAGAGAACCAGGATAACAGGCAGGCGTTGTTGAAGAAGTTATAGTTTTTGGACATCTTGGATCATGAGAACCAGGGTAACAGCTAGGCGGCTTCACAGTCGTATTCGGCGGTTGAGGACATCTTCGATCTGACGAACCCGGATAACAAATGATGGGCTTCTCAGTAGTTTTTGAAACTTGTGGACATCGTGGATCTGACGAACCTGGATAACAGGTAGGCTGTGGTGAAGGTGTTATAGGTTTTGGACATCTTGGATCAAGAGAACCAGGAAAGCAGCTAGGTGGCGAGGGAATTGTTGAAAATGAACATCTCGGGTCTTTTGAGGTATTGTCACAGGTTAGAATCGGCTTCTTACTTTGGTGAGTGCTCTTGTTTTTGCACCTTTCGTTCTCTGGATCTGTGCATTGCATGATTTCTATTTTTGGTTTTTGTAGTGATTCTCTACACCCTATGTTGCATTTTCCCTCGCAGATCTGAAAATGATTATTGTTTTAATTTTTTTAATAGTATACCATTTTTTGGTATTTTTTTTTTTGTTATACTTATTTTATTTATTTGTTTTACGACCATAAAGGCTATTGATTCCTCTTTTTTTTTATTACTTCATTTATTGTTAAAAAAACTTATGGATATGTTAAACTCTTTTCACTACTCCATGTAGTTATTGTTGGCCATTATATATTGGTATGGTACTGATAATGATTTATTTCACTGAACTTTTGTGTAAATGTTTGTAGTTATTATGTTAAAAAGTGACAAAAGTTAAATTTTTTACTGGAACTGTTTTTGAAATCGTGAAAGAAATGACATGAAAATAGTTCTTGTTACCTCGAGTTCGCTTTTATAGAAATTTAGAACAATTTTATTAATTAAAATTTATTTGGTTGTGTTAAAATTTCGGGAGGGTGACTTCAGCCTTGAAGACAAAGAAGGTCGTGGAAGGACTTCCTTTCTTGATGACGATTTTCTGCTTGCTTTGGTGGAAGAAAGCCGCAGAGCAGCTGTTAAGGAACTCGCAGGGAAACTTAACCTTGGCGAATCGACCGTCGATGGCCACTTCAAGGTAAAAGCTTGAAAGTTGGAATCCACTGACATTAAACGATCGCCAAAAAAAAAACAGCGTTATGAAGTTTGTGGTACACTTCTTTATCGAAAAAAAAACGAACCTTTTAAGTCCAGAATTGTTAGAATAGAATAGAATAGAAAATAATTTTATTCTGGGACGAAGTCCCTTCAGAATAACAAAAAAGTGCAAAAATTAAAATGTTATATCTGGCCAAATAAAAACAAACATAAAAAGTAAAGATAAAGATAAATCAGTAAAAAAATATATATATTAGTTATACATACTATATACAAAATAAAATAAAAAAATCTATATACAAAACTCTTGAAACCATACCAAGATACTTAAAACTATGTACAATGGTAAAATATAAATAAACACTTTTAGAAAAAATAAAAAATACAGAAAAAAAAAAAATGTAAATTCTGTGTTTCTGTTGAAAAAAAAAAGAAAGTCGAATCTATAATAAGTATTTAAATTATGAGCTATATGTGAATATATTATTATATATAATATTTAATTTTACATAAAAGGTTAGCTGGTATCTGACTTTGGGACAGGAATTGAAATAGGAGGGTTTTAAATGTAGATAGGGATGAAGAATGTCGAATTTTGATAGGAAGGGAATTCCAAAAAATAACAGAGCGAGAAATAAATGAATTTTGGAACGAGGCAGATCTGTGAAAAGGAATGTAATGTCGAAAGGTCGAGATCTTGTGGAGAGGGAGTGGACTGAGGACTTGAATTGGAGAAGGTTGTAGGCATAGGAAGGACGAAGATTGTTGATGATATGATAGAGGAATGTACCTAGGAAATATTGTCTTCGAATGGAGGGGAAGAGCCACTCTAAATTGAGTCATGGAGGTCATTAGTATAGGAACTAAAAAGGAGAGAAGATATGCTAGATCCTTGGGCTACTCCAGAGGATAAAGGCAGGTAGGCAGATAGTGATTGATTAGGAATGGAGACTGCTTGGGTGCGTTGTGAGAGAAAATATTGGAACCAAGAGATGGAGCTATTGGAGAAGGAAAGTGATTTTAGTTTGTTGAAAAGGATGGGATGGTTAATGGAATCGAAGGCTTTAGAGAAGTCAAGAAGTATTAGGACAGTTAATTGTTTATTATCTATTGCAGTCTGAACATCATTGGTAATTTTGATTAAGGCGGATTGTGTGGAGTAGCCGGGACGGAAACCAGATTGGAGAGGTTCAAGTTGGTTGGACTTTTCGAGGAAATTGGAAATTTGGGATTGCACCAATCTTTCTAGGGGTTTTGAAAGATTGGAAAGAATTGAGATTTGGCGAAAGTCTTCGGGAGAGGATGGATTAGGCTTTTTATTTAAAGGGAGTACAATGGCTTTTTTCCAAGAGGTAGGGAATATTGAGTTCTGTAGGAAGAAATTGTAGATGAAAAGGAGAACTGGGAGGATTTCGGGGAGACATAATTTTATCAATTTTACATGAATGCCATCTGGTCCTATGGAATTGGTGTGGGATTTCATTACTGACTCATCATTAAATGATGACTCAGGAGCAAAGTTGGAAGAGGAGGGAAGAGAAGAGGTAGAGGAGGCAGAAATAAAATGTAAATTTAAATCGTCAGGTGAAACGGGAAAGACCAGTGAGGAAGGTGATCTGGAAGGTTCACAGAAGGAAATTTTGCGAAGGATTAGCCATTTAGATTTGGGATCTGGGGCAGATGAAAGGGCTTCATGGAAGTAGGAAGCTTTAGTTCGCCGAATTCTTGTTTGTGTCAAGTAGCGAAGCACCCTAAATGCTTGATAGCCATCTGTAAGCCTGGTACGTCTAAAGCGTCTACGGGCAGCACAACGCCTCTTCTGCAGATCCTTAATTTCTTGACACATCCAAGGTGCACGCCGGCGGCGAAAGGTTAAGGTTTTTATGGGAGCATGGGTGTTAAGGATGTTGAGGAGATTGGAAGTCAGGATCTCAACCATGCAGTCGATGGAGGAACAGGAATATATTTCGTTCAAGTCTAAGGTTTCAAGGTCAGGTAGAATTTTTTCACGGGTGAGAGTGTCTATCTGACGGAAAGTGAAGGTTCTCGGATGAATCAGAGGGGTTTGGATATTATATGTTATTAGGATCATGTCATGAGACGATAAGAAGGATACTGGCAGTTGAGAAGAGGAGAGGAGATTTTGTTCAGAGTCTATAATGAAGAAATCTAACCAAGTGTCGGCCTTGCGGGTGTGGTGAGTAGGATAGGAACAATAAAGAGATGAAGGAAAAAAAAACAGGTTTTCTAGAAAAGGTTTTTTCATCATGGACAAATATGGCCACCCCACCACCAGTCCGGCTGACCCGGTCGTGGCGGATGAGGGTGTAATTAGATAAGGAGACAGATGAGGACGGAATATAGGGTTTGAGCCAGGTTTCTTAGATTGCGATGATGTGAAAAAAGATTTGAGAAAAGTGCTGTAGGAATTCATCATAATGGGCGGAAAGGGATTGCGAGTTAACGTGGCAGGTGATTAGGATGCTAGACATGGGGAGGATTTGATGGGAAACAGTCAGAAATTAGCATAGAGGAAATGAGGCATGTATCATATTCTGAAAAAAAATTAAGATAAGTACTGATAAGCAAAATAAAAGTGAATATTGAAGAAATAAGTGAGTAATAAGAGTAAGAAAATAAACAAATTAGTAAACAAGAGCTATGAGACATTTTAACCAAAATCTTCAAAATTATTTGAACACCAATGAAGATAAAAAATACTTTGATGAACGAGAAGAAGTGATGAAACCTGTACAGTCAGGCGAAAACTTCAAGATTCGATACCTGATTAATCAAGATTACTTGATGGCCGTCGTCTTTTCGGCATTTCACATTACCGGCAGCAGACCATACGTATCTTATCTTCCCGGTTGCTCTCTTCTGCCGGGCTAGCCAGTAGAGGTGCCTATTCGTTGAGGTCATCTCCTCGCCGAGATAAATTCGGTGGCAGTCGTTTTCCTGCCACCCGATATCACGCGTCGAGAAGTCCCTCTTCATTTTCCTTCTCGCTATCAGGGCGACCCTCACTAGCTTTCTGCAAATACCTATACCCAGTATCGAATGCAAAAAATTTAGTTTTTGAAGTTACACTGTCATTTTTTAAGCTTTGAAACTGCTTTATTATTTGTGAAATACTTTACCAACCCACAAAACATTAAATTAAACTCGGCAAGAAAAGCGCTGTTGTACAGTTTATTTTGAACGTTTCTTCTTTCCTTGACGATTGTTCTGATGTCCTGGCAAATCACTCACAACGTTCCGACAGTAGTCTGCGAGCTTTGGAGTATTCCACCGACCTTGATATCTTCATTCCATCGAGGTTATTATATCTTGGTGAAATCGCTCAACATGTTCGTCACTTACAAATCCACAATTTTCGGGAAAGAAGTGAATCCAAATGAAAGTGAATCTTGAGTGACATGTTACAACCGTGATCTCTATACTTCTCAAGGAGGGTTTGGACTAAGAAAGCATAATTTTCCTCTCTTTTGTTACTCAAGAAATCATTAGCTAAAGCTGTAAATGCTTCCCAGGCTGCTCTTTTTTTACCCTGAATAATATTCAAAAATTCCCCGTCATTAAGAAGCTCACGGATTTGTGGACCAACGAATACACCCACTTTAATCTTGGATTCACTCAAGCGAAGAAATGTTCTTCTTAAGTACTTGAATGCCTCTCCTGATTGGTACATTCTTATGAAAACTGTTTCATGAGTCCTAATTTTATATTTAGTGGAGGGATTTTTTGTGGATAAAATGATTTTTTCAGAACCCACCAGAGGGTTGTAGAGAACATTTTTTCGTCCAGGGATCAGGACTTCTCTTTGGGGCCATTTTTTCCTGATGTAATGGCGTGCTCTGTCCCGACTGTCCTACTCACATAAGAAACAACAGTTCTTAGTATATCCCTGTTGCATACCTAAAAGTATTGCCATTCCTTTAAGGTTCCCACAGATTTTCCCTTGGCAGTCCTGGTATTTGATAGATTTTAGAAGGGTTTTCATGTTTTGGTAAGTTTTCTTCATGTGGATAGCATGGCCAATGGAGATAGAGGGAAGTAAATTGCCATTGCGCAACAGAACTACCTTGAGGGATAGCTTTGATAAATCTATGACCAGCCTCCATTCAGGTCGGTTGAGATTTAATGTTGTCATCAGACCTGGGACATATCAACAGGCAACAAGGTTCTCATACTTTTTGAAAAAGGGGATCAAGTCTTTCTAACGATTTCAGTACATTGTAATCTCTACAACAGGTTGTAAGAAGTTCCATTGCTACAATCTTGAACCCAAGTTCTGCTTTCTTTTTAGGCAGATCCAGGTCTCGAATCAAGTCACTGAGTTCAGCTTGAGTAAACAAGTGGGATTTTCGTTCCTCTTGTTTGAAAGAAAAATCAGAATCATCCTCATTCAAGTCATAGTGTTCAGAAGCATTTGGAACTGTCAATTCGGCCACTTATGGCAGAAGGAATGTCAGGGTACTTCACTTCAGATTTCTATTTTCGAGATATTCCATGATGAAGATGTGGAGTTCTATGCAAAAGTAGCAGTTGTCAGTTTGATTAGTAGGCTCCCTCCACACTATGGGAACAGCAAACGCATTGAACGACCTGTCTTGTTCAATCATTCACTTAAGGTTACGCAACATGTGATGCAGCAGATGTGCGGGACCCAAAGTTTATCTTGGTCACCAACCTTCACCCTAAAATTCTTGTGGTATGCTGCCTTGATCATCTGAGTGATACGACGTTTTTGACATGCAAAGGTTACTTCCCAACGAATGTAAAAAAAGTTGTCAGGAGCATTCACACGCTTCTTGGGCATTGTAACTTCACCAAACTACTGGATTATCACGACAAAATCGTTGAAAGAATGTACTGTACAGAATCATGTCAAGAGTAACTTGAAGAGAAACACTGCATACAACTGTCAGCAAAATGGTGCAGTGATTCACAACTAGTCGCTCCCCGCGATTCACAGACAGAAATCAATCCTACCAACCCAGGAGCAGGATTTGCCCTTGAATTTACCCATATTTCGCAAAAACTGACTATATTTTTGGAACTAGAGCTAATTGGTGATTTTTATGCGGAAATTCGAACTTCTCACACCAAAAAAGATGGAATGAGGCTGTTTTCAAGTGAGATACAATATCAATGTCGAGCAGTGTAATGGATTAAATACAGTTTTGTACTAAAATAGTTTTTTGCATGATAAAGGTTGATTTTTATTTTATTTCTAATTACATAGGCCTCAAGGCCCAATTACCGGACTTGTCCACCCACCAGTACGAGTACAAATATACTCAACAGTTTGATTACCCTAAATTGTCATATTACAGTTCATCTAAGAAGTAACCTCGATTCTGAAAAAGGTCACTTTTATAAAACCTTCAATCTCTTCTCTGAGAGGTTTGTTTACAACAACAAGAAACCTAATACCTACCAACATTCTAGCATGACATGAAATGCATTATGTACTGGTACCGAAACATTAAAAAAATCATTCAATTTATTAGAATTTCCACAAATCTTCATAATACTTCATAATTAAAGACGCGTAAAATACCTTTTGGTTTGGTTACCTCAATGTTGCATCTAAGAAGAACTTGTTGTTTGTCAGGGAATTTAAAAGCCGTCAAATTGTTGTAAGCCAATGTCGTTGCCCCAATACTCCTTGAACCAGATGTTGTTTTCCAATAACCTATCAATTTAGATTTTCTGAAAATTGTTAATACTTTGTTATGAAAGTTGCACGATCTATGATTCAATATACGTAAAAAATAAGTTAATAAACCCTATATGTGATATATATATATATATATATATATATATATATATATATATATATATATATATATATATATATATATATATATATATATATAGTATAAGTCTTACTTTGGACAACCATTATTATCGGTTAATTGAAGTCTAGTGGTAGATGGCGAATCGTAATCTTCGTTGTCATATGCATAACAATCCCTAACCTGGATGTCGAATTTTTGTTCATCACTTTTTAAGTAAACGAAAACTGTTAACTTCTCGCCAACTTTTATTATCCCATCAGCAGGTGAATTCTGTCGACAATAAAGTTATTAAAAATTCAATAAAAATTCTACTAAATGCTAGCTCATATTAATGGTGATACTAACGTTTGGGTATTCTCCTCTTTGAATATCCATCCAACACTCTAGCGTACCTTTGTTCATAGGCAAAGAAACGACTTCCAGCATATCAACAAGGATAGGTTTAAAGTATATAACTCTTTCACTTTTTCCTGGTATTTCACATGATATTTTGCGAGCCATATCCGATGCTTCCTGTATGATAAGACCATTATCTAATTTTGTAATTTAATAAGAACGTCATTTAGTTTAATTTTACTAAAATTATATATTGCATTATTTAACAAATAAGGTTTCATAAAATAACATATATTTTTACGTGGTGTAAATTTATTAATTACAATCCTTCAAGGCAGTGGTTTCTGGTTATTAGCTACCTAAAAATACCTCTATTAACACTTTTAATACTTTTGTCATTGAAATGAAATGAAAATATATTTTATTATTCTGGGACTGTTGTCCCTTTAGAACAAATTATAAGTACTGAATAAATGTAAAAGTGGTCATAAATAGAGTTTGTTTATCTTTTTTTTAATTTATCGTTTTTTTTTTTCTCAAAAATATATATGAGCAAGCATAAATTATAATTGCAAAATGCCTTGTTGAAAAACATTCCGTAGTATATAATGGTCTGCATATGAACCATCTGCATGCATATGAATTATCTGATAGCTGGTCTATGAACAAAACTAAAGATGGATGTAAGGAGATGCAACTCTACACTGCATATTTTTAATAGCATATTTTATTTTATTTATTTATTTTTATTTTCTTCCCACATTATGATATTTTATTTTTTTCTTATTTCGCTGTATATTATTTTTTTATTACCTTATTTATTTATGATTCTGTAAATATGGTGTGAATGTGCTCTCTGAACTATATTATAAGTGTCCTTCATTGAGGCAGATTGTAATATTTATCAATAAACGAGTAATCTAAAATATATGTTATTATGAATTGTACTGAAAAACTTACTTGTATGTATTCATCAGTTTGAAAAATAATGACATTTTCAGCATCACTTCCACACGAGCCCTTTCTGCATGGCCCTAGTTTTTTGGTACCACATTTATTTACCGGTATATTAAATCGAAATTGAGTTTGTCCACTTCCAGAACGAACATATCTGAAAATATTAAACAAAGTTCACATTATTAATATTATAAGTTAATTAGGAACAGTGAAGTAAATAAAATCACCGCGGTGCGAAAGTGTTACCAGTGGGTGCAAGAGATATCAAGAAAAAGAAAGAACTAATTCAAACGAACCATTTTAATTCTGGTGGTGAGGGGTTTCTGATTTGAATTGAGAAATAAGAAGAGTATTACTAGGCTAAATACTCTAGGAATCATCAACACCGATCAAGAATGGACTTGAGGTCTGGATTTAAATAAAATGGCGGACAAAATTTCGACTAAAAGAAAATACGAGAAATACATTTTCTTTCTTTTTCAATCTTTAGGTAAATTTGTTATAATACTATATTCATGATCAAAGGAATTACCTATCCACTTAATGCTATTTAGTAATTCCTTATCTGCATACATTGTTATCAATTTCCATTTAGTCTATTATAGTTATTTTGTTTTGATTTAAATGTCCTTAATACTTTTTATTTACTGTGTTAGTTATTTTCTGAATTTATATATCGTAATATCTCGTAACTCATTGTTCCAAAGTTTTGTATCTTCTTCTTTCTAGCCCTGATAAAGACCTGTTTTAGTGGGTCGAAACATAGCCATAATCTTCCTATCATAGTAAATAAATGGTCATGTGTTCATAAATAATATTATAAAGAAAATCTGTGTTATCAATTATTATGTTTTAATGACACTATTGGGGCTGCTGGTCTCGATATTTCTTAGCATCAGGCAAGAAGTAGAATTTGCATTATCTGGGTATCACCTATATGAGTAAATTAATTAATATTGAAAAGAACATTGAAGTATTAAATATTCGAAATTATATGTTTGCAATAATTTTTGGATATACCTGCATTCTGGATCGTTGTAATGTCCCTTACTATATATAATGCCGTTGAAGGGATGATCTGTTTTGACAAATACAGATATTACTTCACTTCCGCAAACGATTTCTTTCACCTCCACTTCAAACTTGGGAGATCTAGCGATTCTAGAAATTTCATTTTTAGTCCGCATAAGGACGCCATCTCCTAGGACCCCCTTAAAACAAAATTACCTTTCAAAACTAGATCATTATTTTTAAAATTAATGAATGTTCGAAAATCAATCTAAATTATTTTAACTATCATAAGACGAAATTGAGATTATATTTCTTACTTAAAAAAAAAAAAGAAACTTAACATCTATATATATATATATAAATAACAGCTGTTTTAAATATATATACTTATTTATATATATGGCGCATTATTGAGCCAAAAAAGTTTAAATAAGCATAATACCAAATCAGTACATGACATCGCAATTGAAATTCCAGACATCACTCTGTACCGATTTGTCGGCGACGATTTAGCGATCTAGTTGTTTGTTTGTTTGTTTCGATGTCTAGGCGCAAAACATCTAGGTTATCAGCGCTCTATCACCTAATTAACGCTACTTTTAAATTATATAGGAGGTAGGACAAAAAAAAAAAATAAAATAAAAGACTAAACAAATTAAATACACTTAAATATGATAATAATCTTGTTGAGTTACTATCTACTCCACTATCACATTGCACTCATAGAGTGCGATCTTCCGCAGCAAAACAAACAAAGAGGTCGCAGGTCGCCGTGACAGAGCGCGTTATATGCGCATTTGTCTAGAAGAGTTAAATAAAGGATCTCCAAGCCTAACTAATAAGGTATCAGAGGACTTAGATGATATTGTACATCTTGGTTATGCCCTACTTATAGACTTATCATGTCAATCAATAATTATTGTAATATCGCATTCGCTAATTTTTTTTAGTAAAAAGAAATCCGTACCACTTCAACCCAACACAGTATAGGGTTCAATACTGTGTGAGGAAGTGCTGTTTCAAGTCCAACAGGGAGGTGATCACGTTCAACCGCCAGGTTTTCTCCCCTCATTTAATTAATTTGATTAAGAATACCCACTTTATAAAGATTGCTCCAAGAGGGTATTACGACCCCTTGGTCGATCCTCGGCTGATGAAAAATTACTTGTCATCAGCCTTATTCAAACCAATAACCTTGAGCTTTGAAACTCAGTGATTACCACTGAGCTACCCCGCTCCCTCTGTTTCGCAGGATTTGCTAACCTGTTTTAATACTAATAGGTGTAAATAAAATATTAAAACAGTAGAAAAAAAATATATCGTATTAGGATTCCTTGTTATCGAAACATTTTTCATGTATTTATTCTCAACTATGCTGAATCAAAAAAAAGGTAAATTGTGACTCTACAATAACTCGGATTGATGTACAGACAGTATTATTGATTTTTTAATATAATATATATTTTTTATCATTCACAATTGAAATAATTGCTTCTCATGCGTAAAATCAATATGAATTATAGGTAAAGGCACTAGGTGGACCTTCTCCCCCCTCTCTTATCCTTAGATTCGGTCCTCTAAAGACATATGGATCACAAGTAATATCTTGTAATTCATTTTGTTTTAAAATTATATATCCTCTATTAGATACCACTGTTATTTATTAATTTATTGTGATTATATGACTGCTAATAAAATTTTACACTTAGAAAATTTCAAAGTTAACATGAAGCCCAGAGTAAATCTATTCTTCGTATACTAAATTTTAAATAAAGCATTGAAAACCAATATTTACATCGAGATACTGAACCATTCATTTTTAATAGCGCCACGGACTTTGCATGGACCATGACACTTTCATAACTATTTGTTCTAAAAACAATCTTTCTGGACATTTTCTGAAAGAGCTTGCAATAAGCTAAACTATATTAAGTTGGGAGCTTTAAACTTTAAATGAGGAACTTAAGCAACCAGTTAAAGACGGAGGCTTCCCTGTACAGCAACAGGTTCCTCTGGAAAGTGGCTGGCCCATGACCCTCAAAAGCTTATGTAATTCCTTCCTCACCCCTCCCCCCTCCTTCCCTACCAATTTATTTTAACAAGAGGTTGCCAACACACTCATGACATTTGGCGTGAAATAAGAATTAGTCATTTATATCTATATAATTCGTGGTTAATTTGCATTGAGAGATTTCTAGAGTTTAAACATCACGAATAGATTCTCTACGAGGATTTAATTGGATACATGGCATTTGTGACTCTTTAGAATATCTTCTTAATACATTCCGTAGTACAGACCCATTTTTATCAAATTATTAACATCCGTCGGAAATTTCGTGAATAGCTTCATCTCATCGTAACCAATAAATATTTTATTTGAGGCTTTTTCAATCTGGAGATAGGCAAAATTTGTCTATCTAATAAGGTACTAAAAGCTCGTAAATAAACATTTGATTTCCACTAGGATCGTAAGACAATTTTATTACAAAATCGAAAAAAAAATGTGTATAATCTGTATAACCTCCTTATTTTGACATTTTGGAGTTGGAGGTCACTCCAAACGGCCCAATATTTTTGTATTTCACCTTTTTTCTCGATTTCGTGCTCCAATTATCTTATGATCAAGTGGAAAGCAAATGGGTATTTACGAGGTTTTAGTACCTATTTATTTATTTATTTATTTTTTAAATGTATTTAATCAGAAATATTACAATCTGTCTCTAGGACATTTATAATAGTGTTCAGAGAGCACACTCACAATCCATTTACAATAAATAAAACAAATAATACAGAAACTAATATTAATAAAAGTAAATGTATATAAGCAAAAGAACTAAATTAATCAAAATAACAACTAAAACACATGCATACTGTACAATATTTACAGTGTACCTGATTAAACAGACAAAGTTTGCCTATCCCCTGATTGAAAACGCCCCAATTCCGAGAATTTTCGTAAATAAAATAGTTGTACGATGAGATGAAGCTATTTACGAAGTTTCAGGCGGATGTTAATTATTTGATAAATCGGACTAATAGACCGATTTACCAAAAATGAAAAACGAAGGAGTAGATTAAAATGTTTTTCTTATTGATTAAAAAGACGTAGATCTAAAACAAAACTGAAAAGCTACGATGGAAGACGTTTCCGGAAGGGAAAGGTTCTTTTGTATTGGGGTAAATTATGAGCTGACCTTCTAGCATGTCGTGTGCAAAAGTTAATGCATTCAGTAACTTATGCTGATTAAATAATAGATCAGATAATAATTGGTTATAAAAAAATTATCCTTGCTATGCCCGTTTTCGGTTTCTTATTGTATTCTACCCAATTATCACCTATACTGTTGAATAAAGCTGTAGAGTTTGTTGACGTCAACCCATCAATCTTAGAAACCATCCGTCCGATTTGAAAAATTCTTTTTAGAGATGAATGTATATTTTTGTTGGATTTATATGATAGTCAGGATATTCAGTCTAGATTTGTTTTCTTTAACTTGCCGAAGCATGTAGGTCATCATGAGGGCTAAAAATTAAAAATCACATCATAAATTCAGAACTGTTTATTTTCTCATGTAATGTTTAAATTTTTAGCCCTGATGATGGCCCACATGCTTGGGTCGAAGTTTCTGTAAGTCGCATAAAAAACAAGAAAAACTACCAAATATTTATTCAGGTCCAGGAAAAAATCATTAAGCCTAATTTCGGACCCAAGTCCAGAGTCCGATTCCACTCTGAATGGAATATCTGAAAAAAGATAATCATATTTTTTTTTTGTAGGAGATATGTCTATGATATAAAAAAAAATAAAATAAATGTTTTGGGCATTTTATTACTCTATTATTTTTTCTATCTGAACAAACTAAATTTCGTTAATTTATTCTAAGTTTGTTTTTTGTATTGTAGCCTAATGCAATACGGCTTTAATAAACCTATTGTGCACCATGTTATTCCGTTTTATAATAAAACTGAAATTTTGTTGCAACCGCGCCAATTCGGCTTTAGAATCCACCAATCGTTCCTCAACAAACAGCTTGATCCTATGATTATAAAAACCATAATTTATCAACGATAACTAACATGAAATAGTTTTACTTGTTTATTTTTCAAATTATACATCAATACACCTATTAGAAATCATTTAAAAAAGAAATTAATTTATAATAATTTCACTGTTATTACTCAGTTAAATTTCATGTCTAAATAACTATGTATGTTCATAACAGCAGAATATGAAGTTAAAGTTCTTTTCAAGAAACGAATTCAACATAAAAATGAACCTATCTAACAATTATTATATTTAATGAATTATTTGAGATGTTTCATTTGTGGACATCTTAAAAATGACATTTGTAAGATTTTTTTCTGCCCCAAATGAACACTTGGTAGTTTTTTATTTTTTTAAATTAATCCTGAAATAATGATGCATACTTAAAAAATAAATAAGTACATATGTAATATATGTTTTAAAAATAGAGTAGATTAACAAAATTTTGTTTTTGAAGTGGGAAATATAATAAAGTATTGAAACATCTTCAAATTCTACCTTTTTTGGTAGAGCATATCTTCTGGAACAAAAAAGAAAATCATGATTATCTTTGTCTTTTTCAGATCTTCTATTTATTGTAGAGCTCTAAACTTTGCTTTGTATTTATACTTAATGATTTTTCATCGCCTTAAATAAGCATTCAGTAAATTCTATTATTTTTTTTTATATTATTGCTAATACATTGAAGTATATTTACATAATATTGATGTATATAATAAAACATCGGTTGAGAATTAAAGAAGGATATGTTTTTTTTATTGGAAAACGAATTTAGTTATCTGCAGCTGAGCGATAAAAATTGCAATAACTCTAACGTTTGAGATAGAGCGAAAAAAATGGTATGTCTACTTCCACGGAATAAAACAACCATGTCAAGATTGATCCAAATGTGACAAGTTGGGTTTCAAAATATTTTTGATATGGAATAAAGTGGTCAATAAAAAAATAAATAACTGGAGGAGCGTGGCAACTCAAGGAGTAAGGTATTATGCTTCTATGCTGCAGTTCTCGGATTTGAGTCCGGCTGATTGAGGTAATTATTTATTTGTCTTCATCAGGCGTGGATCGACCCTGGGGTTAGAGCTCCTCCTGGAGCACACCTACCCTCTATTAATTAGGTATTCTGACTTTTAAATTCAATGGTTTAACACTGAATAAAGGGGAAAACCTGGCGGTTGACTACAATTTTCACCAGGTAAATGAACCTTAATTTTGCCTTATGTCGCCCCCTTGTTATATGCTTATAGGTTCTATCCGCTCGCCTCCCACTGTTAACGTGTATTTAAATTACATATAGTTAGTTCGTGTTTATATTTTGGGTAAAATAATTTAAATTAAATACATGTATATTTTCTTATTTTATCCATATACAATTTTGAAATGAAACTTCGTTTTCCTTGATTTGTCTCTTCTAT